CTTTTCAAAATTGTTTTCCATATAGTTATTAAGGCTAACAGTGTTGCGTTGAATAAAATAGTTTATTATTGCCAATATACCAGAAAAATTTACAAATTAAGCAAGGAAATATTCCTTCGTGGTTGAATTTTATAACAGATCTACAATCATCATCACGACTAAACAAGTGAATATTAAATAAACGTCAATTAAATAATTATCAGAATGAGAATTTATGGAGGTTGTAGTAATTTTATCAGTTGAATTCATGAGTTGATCTAAGCTAGTGACTGGCTTCAAGATGATTTCCTGAAGTTATATTGAGAAACTGAAACCAGTGGAGTTCAATCCGTGTTTGAGTAGAGATGGGTATCCACCTCATACGATAGATAAATGTCTGCGCAGTCGTTCATGGATCGATAGTAGTTAAATATTAAAACCGTTGAATGTCGGCTCAGTGGCTTAGATGTCAAGGATTTGCGCGCGAGACCAAAGGTCCTGGGTCTCCACTGCTGAGAAGCCTCATACTAAGACGAAACGGCCGTCCACTGCTTTCAGTTTTTCAATATTGGTTTAACATCAATCGATTCATGATCCCAATCAGAACACTATAAATACTCCTAAGCTGACTAAAAAAATTAACATTCGTAGCATTAGTTAGTTACCTTTCATTATATATTTAACTTAAAGTGAAATATCCTATGTTAAGTCTATTATTGTTCAAAATTTAATTATCTGTAAAGAAATTGTAAACTCGTTATGTTACTATCATTATAACAACTGGATGAAATACATGAAGAATAAAAATTCAATAGTTGAGATCATGAGTTAATTGAAGCTAGACCATCATAAAAAACCTGGAAACATTGGACTCATGATTTCAACCATTGAAATTAATAGAATATTCACAAGTACCCCTTCTGTTATTATCAAAAATTTAGTTCATTTATTTTTATAAAAATCAGCATTGAATAGATTGAAAATAAGTTTAAAGGTTAACTGTAGACAAACTTTTTATTGAATATTGAAGTAAATAACCGTTCATAATATGTTCTTAATTGAAACATAGAAAAAATAGTTGAAATATGGAATGGATACCGGCTCAATGGTCCAGTAGTTTAAGCGTTCGTGCGCGAGACTGAAGATCCTGGGTTCAAATCCGGCAAGCGGGATCATGGATGCGCACTGCTGAACAGTCCCACAATAGGACGAAACGGCCGTCCAGTGTTTACAGGTTTCCAACGGTGATCTAACATCAATCGGTTCATGATCTCAATCAAAAATATGGAGTGATTCAGAAAATGAATAGTTGAATAGAATCGTTACTTTTTATTATTATTATTATTAGATATACGTTTCAACCTGGCTATGAATACATCATCAGTGTTCATCCAAAGTTTATTGAACAGCCTCTTTCAAATATTATGTTGAATATCGTGATCGAATAGTTACAATCAAAATAATTATATTTTTGTGTAAATCTAAAATTGTATCTTTGGTATGGGTGCCTGAAAGAAATCATCAAACCATCCATACAAAATTTATTATATAATTAAACCTATACTTACATAACCGATATCATTTACAATCAATAAGCAAGAACCGTGTTGTGATTTTTCAGTAATTCGAAGAAAAACCCTGAACTCAACTTATTTGTTTCCAAAACATGTAAGTCAATAATTAAACAGCATCAAGTGAATACACTAATTTACTATTTGAATTATAATCCTTACATTGAATGATGAGTGATAGTGTTAACTAATAATTAATTGTACTACGTTTGTTGACAACAAAGGAACAAATAAAAAGTTGATATTCAGCGGGAATTTGGTACCTGTCAGTAGTTGATTTACTCAATAAACATACAATTATGCAAAGTATGATAAATAACAAACCTTTTTTTAAACTAAATTTATCAATCATTCGTTACTAATAAATACTTCCATATTATAAGGACAAACCAAATGAGTTTCTATCTATTTCATTTGAAACTATTACTGTTATACTCATATCTATACGAAAGATACATATTTATATAAGAAGTTACACCAACTTTCTGGTTAGTATCTTATAGGTATAGGTATCGTATTAATAATGGACGATAATTATGAAATAACTTGAAGATACTTTGTATATTGTCTTCACAATCAAATAAGCACTGGAGATAAAACTTAAAATCAAGATTCTCTTTCTCTTCATTCAATATAAATTAGGTTTAAATTAGAAATATTGTGACACATTTATTAAATAACGATATACTTTTCCCCATTTTTGGATTATACGTCTTTCAATGAATGCAACCATCAATGGAAAAGTAAATGTACAATGTTTTAAAAGTGCAATTCAGAGAATAAAAACCAAATACTTTAATCATTTAACTACAACTACTTACGTCAGTATACAATATAATAATTTTTTCCTTTGGTTGATGAATGCCATTTCTTTTATTCTAATATTAATAAACCAATTATTCAAGTGAATGAAAATAGTCTCTTTTAGTGATTTCCCCTTTCTATACTATCCTTGTTAATACTATTAGCACTATGTTTTATTCTACTCCATTTTCTTCATTTTCTTTTCTATCTCTCTAAATTTGTTCAGCATATTTATAGATGAATAATTTTCAATTATCTCGGGAAAAAAAATGATTTTTTCTTGTTCTTAACATTCTTCAACTGTTTTTGATTAAAGATACCCTAAGAATGTAACTAGTATCAACATTGACAAATAAAAACTTACTCCATTTTCTTGAATTATATATATATATATGATGGTTGGCTGATTGGTTATGTTGTTCAATAAATGAAAAGTCGTTAAGTGGTATAGTGATCATAGAATACTTTTAATCTTATTCGTTTCTATAAAAATACACTGTACTATTTGCTTTTCTTTCAAAGTGTAAGTTGTTTCTTAACCTAGCTTTTGTTGCACTTAGTTGTGTATGTTTTCAGTTATTGAAGCTTCTCAACTCCCCAGAGAATTGTAATGAATATTTCGTACGATATATATATCAATATGTCTGCAATCAGTTGAAATAATACCCGAGTATTATATCTGGTCATATGTAATCATCTGTGTCTACAATGCAAATGATAAGAAAATAACTATACAATTTACACAGGGATTTCGATTAACAATTGTCTATGAAATATTTTAAAAAAGTGTACATTCTGTCAACATTATACGACAATGAACTATAGACTTCAGTTGATAGTTTTAAAGTTAGTGTCGCCATAAATTAAAATGGAAGAAAAATGGGTTTTTCTTATCTGCTCAAATGTTTTCTTCTTTTTTTGGGGGGGGGGAACGATTGTCAATATTATAAACATAAATGCTGAATATTTGTCATAACTTAACAATAACTTAACGATGAAATTGTCCAACGGATTAAAACCGAATAAAGTTTATTTTAAATTTAATCTTTTAGGTAAATATGACAAGTAGTGAATAAGTTTCATACTATAGATGGATTTATCCAGTAAATAAATAAATAACTAAACTAAAATAAACGATCATATATGTTGAAAGTAGAAGATGATTATCTTTTAGGAATTCATTTTTATTGTTCACACATTCATATAACTTTTCTAAATTCAATCATGGCAAGACTATAATTTATGGATGTATCAATCAAGTATAAAATAATAGGTCTTTGATTTTGACGCGAAAATCATTCATACATTTGTCTAAATAAAGTTCATGATGAAAACCTTAAATCTAATTTTTAACCTTAATCATCAACTATAAATTATAATTCTAATTCCTCACACTGGTTTATAAATCTTATTTGGTTATGGTTATTAGGTGGACCCTTTCAAGGTCACTTCAGCGTTACCCAAAAGTCGTCCATAAATTATAGTCTCATCTCAGTCATTTGAATTACTCAAATATTTTTATAGTTTATTCAAAAATTCCATATATTTTAGCATCACAATCTCTGCCTCTATGATGAATTCATAATGGTCAACATTTATCTTTGAGAACAATGACTGATATATCTGAATATAAACATGTATTCAATATATAAGCAAAGATGAATAGTGGCTAGCAATAAAATCCAGTTTGATGCCTATTTCGTCCTATTTGAGACTCATCAGCCGAAACGAAACCGTAAACAGAAAGTTTATCAAACTGAATAGCTATCAGTAATGTAAACATCCACAAGTATATTTTAGAAAATAATTAATATTACAAGTGAACTTTTCTACTTCACAGTATTTTCAACTTTATAATACCTGTCCAAAATAATTATTATCAATGATTGCAATTAAGCATTACCATTAAATAGTTTATAGAATAATATGGATTGCATAGCTAATGATGTATCCAACAATTATTTGTTTACTGGTGGTTTATCGCTAAATAAAGAATGAATAATTAGTTTATAAAGTGGATACCTCTCATTTAAAGTAACCATAATTAATTAATTAAGATCTTTAACATGAAGTATAAAATTTACCAAGGAAAATCATATAAATATCAGTTTGTTAAAATGAACATTTAGAAAACAGGAAAGTACACTAGAAATGTCAAATATAATCCTATAAGTCAATATTACTGTTGACTATTAAAAAGTAGTACACTATATATATATATGTAGTTCAACTGTCGCCAGTGTATTAGTGGTAGAATATATTTTCACTATGGTAATTCTAAGTTTACAAGGCAACGAGAAAATAACAAATAAATACTTTGAGACAATCCATATATTTATACATTTATTTACAAAATTAATTTTGTTTCAGTTGCCTACCAATTTGTTTCATAATTATGTTCCTTGATATCATTCTATTAGTGAACAAAAAAAAAGAAGGAGAAAAAGAAGAAAAACACAACAAAAACAAAACAACAACTGATAAGAAGATTTATTCAAATAAATGCATAAAACCATCAATATAACATTTATTGGTATCCGGTATAAGATTGAAATTAGTTTCTTCATAATTCTATAAATTAAAAAATGTATTGAATCTGATGATAATTCATAGTTGAAAGGAAGAAAGAAAGAAAGAGAACAAAATCTATACATAAGCATAATATAATATGGTATAGAAAATGTAAAAATACATGAAATAAATATAAATATGCAAAGGTAATAATCTTGTCTCTAAAGATTTGCCAGTATTATCATTGAATGTATCATACAGTTCTTTTGGTTCAATTTTAATGTCTAAAAATTATTTTTTTAAAAACATGATAAAAATGAGTAAATATATGAATTGAAAAATTAAAATTTTATAAAACACCTATTTTATATATTTACAATTGATTGGTCATTTGGTAATGATCAATGCTTAGATTGAATTCTATCGACCAAGTTGTGATGTGACCACTAGTCTAAGTGACTCGACATTATGTGCCCTGTGTTGAAATAAGATGATGATTAGAGGTAGTTTACAGGAAACCGTGGACTTAGGTTCCATGTAACTTGACATTCGTCAGTAAAGTGTACCTGTATTATTCCTGAGGGAATTGATGCTCTCTGATGGAGTTGATCCCGCGTCACCTTTCTAAACAGTCACAGACGTTACCACTGGGCTATCCGGGACGTGGATGTCCTCCTGTTAGACTGAGATTTATTCACGATTGATTGATCAGTGGGTGGTGATCAATGACACGTCAGTCGCGATCCGGATAGCGCAGTGGTAATGTCTCTGACTGTAAAGCTGGATGACACGGGATCAAATTTATCGAGGAGTAACAGTTCCCTTAACATTGCAGGTACACCTTGCTCATGAGTGCCAAATTGCATAACACCTACATCCAGGGTTTTTTGTCGACTACTTCCAATAATCATGTTATTTGTCTTATAAATGAATTATTGGAATTGTTGTTATTTACCAGCGAGCTATAAAATTTTCACTACACCTAAATAGTTTATATGTATGATTGTTGTTTTCAATCTCCTGTGGTTCTCGATGTTAAACTTTTAAAAGCAGCAGTATATATCGATTTTAGTCCTTGTTGATTTCAAAAGCAAGCGATACCTGAAGTCCGATTGATATAAATAAATCCATATAAGTCCTTGATACTACTCAGTGGTTCAGTTCTGTTAAAAGCAATCAAGATATATGCTTTATTTATTATTAGTCAGTTATGTATGATTATTCTCAGTTGAAAGATTTTAGATGAAATAATTTGTTTAATCTTACCTTATTTTCAGTGATACCACATCAGACAGCTTTTTGTCTTGAAAAACACTAAAATTGTTAAATATTTAATTAATAATGGATAGAAAAGAATCTTCATATAAATACTTTCAGCTTAAAATTCTGAGACAAATGTAAAACATAAAATAACTAAGCATAATAAACTATATAACAAGAACTTTCTTACTTGTTTTCTGTAAATCCAATGAACTCTCTTCTAATGATTCTAAGTTAGTTCCAGGAACTTTACGACAAGTCCAAATGCCTGAATTATTTTTTGTTAATTGTCCAATTTTCAATCTACTCATTTGTGTTGTTCGATTAATCCATTTGGTTTGTATATCCACGTATAATTCTTTTAATTTTAAATAATTGTCTAAATTTAAATGTTTTTTTATATTAGTAAATAACTTACTTTCTAATTTCGGATATATTCTATATCCATTATAATACCAATGAATAGATGATGTTGTAGTTGGATGATGAAATTGAACAAGACATGTTAAATGATGGTTTTGACCAGGATTATTAAAGATATGAACACCTAGATACCATTAACAATGAAAAATAACAGCATAATAATAATAATAATAATGAAAGATTGTGCAAAAATGGACGTATTGGATTTTTCTACTTTTTCTCTTTGCTAGCCGTAATTCAAACGCACTGAAATATGTCTTACCATTTCTTGAAATAATAATAATATCTTTAACCTTGGTATAAATAAAATGCTAAATGTAATGTTCAACCAAATGTTTTTAAGCCATTTACCTAAGAATCTGCTAAATTGTAAGAATTGAATACTTGATTTCTGTGGAATGCAATAACCTTGTAAACAATATGAAATCTCTTGTCGACATTTTTAAAAAAGACTCCATTTTATAAGTTCATGGTAATCATTCTTTCTGAATATTATGGAAGTCAGTTAAATAATTACAGTAATTTTAAGATTCATAATGACACGGTATTATTAATTAAATTTCTTATCAAAAAAGGTTAATCTGGACGATTTTCATTGTGAACTGTAGATTATTGTGATAAACTTCTTCATTAAGAAATCTATCTGAGTATAATAGTGTTAATCTTCTGAAATGACTGAACATATTACTGTTTTCTTAGAAGATATATATGTACACATGGTTCCCTTTATTATCTTAAAGAGAGCAAGAACGATGATTGGTGCAGAATAATATGAATTCATTTTATTTCGTTAGGTTCTCATCAGCTGCTTACAACCTAAAGTATTTGAAAATCAACATGATTAACAAACAACCTAACTCCAACCTTTTGAAATTTGCGGAACCAAAAGCAATTAAACGTCTAAAACCATATCTTTGTGTACAAAAATAGACAGTAATAAATCTTTCTTTGCCCTGGTAACATTACCCCTCTTTTTATATTTTTTTATTTTTATTTATTGCGTCATTCATTATTTCAACTCTTTCTGAAGTTTAAATTACATCATTATCATTTTTCTTTATTTCATAACTGACTGATCTCAGTTCACATCTCCCTTTATAACCACTGATATATTCCCAGTTGATTAATTATACAATTTTCTACTGTTTGTTAACTTCATGAGTTCTAATCACTATTCCAATGCTCTGTACGTTTCCCTGACAAACTTTATTTATAGGGAAAAAATTTGTATGACCTTATTAACTCTATTGAATTAGCAACAACCAACTGTGGGAAAGAACAAACCAGATCTCAGAGGAGGAAGAAATTAGGAAGAAGCGCTGGAAGTGGATAGAACACACATTGAGGAAAGCACCCAACTGCGTCACAAGACAAGCCCTCACATGAAATCCTCAAGACCAAAGGAAAAGTGGAAGACCAAAGAACACATTACGCCGGTAAATGGAGAAAGACATGAGAAAAATGAACAAGAATTGGATGGAATTAGAAAAGAAGGCCCAGGACAGAGTGGGCTGGAGAATGGTGGTCGGCGGCCTATGCTCCATTAGGAGTAACAGGCATAAGTAAGTAAGTAACTCTATTGAAGTCTTCGTTACATCATGAGACACATACATTGATCTTTCATCACCCTCGTATGTATCAGTATGTCAATATCTGTTATAACGTTGGTTTTCAAATATTTTAGGTTGTAAGCAGCTGATGAGAACCTAATGAAATATAATGAATTCATACTATTCTGCACCAATCTTCGTTCTTGCTCTCATTAAGATATATACGTGTAATTAAAAAAGTGGCTTTTTTGTGTGAGATTCGTTGAGTACTAACAAGGTTTGAATAGGTTCAACTTCATTGTAAATATAATATTTTTTTAATGCTTATTAGAATTATGCTTTTAACAGCTAAAACGCGATTTGTTCCGATCATCTTAAACATAGTTTCTTATAATATTGAAATACTACTAGATCTTTTTAAACCATAGGTCAAAACGACAAGTTATTTATGGTTCCTGTCTTTTTATTTCTTTTAAAACGATAGCAGCTATGCTACAAACAATTTGCATGATGGTTAATTTTGGTTAACCCCTTTTGTTATTCACTTACTTAACAGACAATGTTATTAGAACAGTAACAATTTGCATATTTCTTTGTACCGTTATGACCACTAGATTACATGACAGAATCTAGATAAAATGGTGATTGCTTAAATATCACTAGATGGTTCATTCTAATCCCCATGTATATATGTACTGAAATCTGATTATTAGCTTTTGCTTTGGTTTGCTTTGCTATGCCCTCATGTGATTTGACTATAAATTTGTCTATGTAATTACTCACATATACATATTCACCTCTGCTTCAAATTCAAATTCGTTTGATATGTTTATAATTTTGTGTTATTCATTATCCTCAAATAAATTGTAGTTGCCTCTTCATATTGTCTTCTAATTTCAAATATCGTTGAAATTTACATGATAACGATTACAAGAGTGATTGATTAATCAAAGTAAAACCACTACAAAACTTCTGATGAATAAAGCCTATCGTATTTTGCAACAACAAAACAACGAAAAAACTGATCGAAACAATTACAACAATTTGTTTACCTACCGATTATGCAAGTAAATTTATAAATTAGATTAGCTTAATGAAGATTAATAACGTTATAATAATACAAATTTGTTAGTGTATTTAATAAAATAAATAAAATAACTTTGGTAATAATTTAAGTAGTATAGAAATAAAGAAAAAAAAACTGGTAAATAATATAAAGTTTTCATTATTGTATAAAGTAAGCATATTTAAAGCCTTTAAAGTATAAAGTCTGTGTACAATATTGTGTTGTTCTAATGTTGCAATTTAATTTCAAATTAATTTTATTCACAGAAGGGGTTTTGTGGATATTTTAGTAAGTTCAATAGTTGAATTTATGAGTCAATTGAAGCTAGACCACCATGGAAAACCTGGAAGCACTGGACGGCCGTTTCATTCTATTACGGGACTCCTCAGCAATGTGCATCCACGATCTCACCCCCCACAAGTTTCGAACCCAGAACCTATTAGTTTAGTGCGCTTAACCATACTAGAACGAAACGGCCATCCAGTGCTTCCAGGTTTTCCGTGGTGGCTTAGCTTCAATTGAGTCATGGTTTAAACTAATTTTATCCATTTGAATTATAGGTTAATGAATGGATTATGTATGATGAAGTTATCTTTCATAAATGTAATTAGATATTAATATAAAATTTGGTATAAGAAAAATACTTAAATCCTCGAAAAAATTTCATAATAGTTACGAATTAGTGAAGTGTAACTAAGTAATAAATAAAATCAAATTGATATGTTAATAATGGGTATGTGAAGATTGTTGAGTTTTTAATTAGGATCATGTTGTACCACTATTGAAAACCTGGAACTATTAAATAAACGTTTTGGGATTTCTTAATAATGCGTATCCATGATCCTATAGGTGAGATTCGAACCTAGAACCTTTGATCTCTTGTACAAACGATTAACTTTTAGACTACTGAGCTGGAATTCAACGGTGTTAATATACTTCCAAATTTTCAACAGTGATCTAATATTGATCAATTCATGATCTCAAACAACTAGATAGTTATTAAACAATGCTTAATAATTTACTCTTTAGTAAAGATTTTATTTCTGTCTAAGAATAAACTAAACAAACTTAAACGTGTCCATAATTTCAATCAAGAATAACAATTTTATATAAATCATATCAATCTGGACTTAGTTAACAATATCAAAATGATATAAATCACCTCTGTCTTTATTTACCTTAATTCTGGACAAATCACAATAAATTTACTTAATCATTCATCAAATTATCATTATTCTCTTCTACTAATATCATACTGAATGTTTGTCTTGTTATTCAGTAAATCATTTAGATGATATTAGAGAATAATTTGAAGTGTATTCTTGAATGAAATTAATATTGTCTTACAAATTTATCTTTATAGTATCTTATTCTCAATCCAATATAAGAGTTTTAATATATATATATGTACCTCTATCAATACTACTTATATAATCATTTAAATACTATATTATCTTATAACTTCATAAATTATAATTTCATTTTAATATTATTGGAAGTTTGTAATTGGAAAATGTAAACTAAACAATCTTAACTATTGTCGCTATTCACGTTATATTGTAATTTGATAATAATAATAATGTTTATATATAACCCTATTCAATAGTCCTTTTGAAGTGTTCTAAAGTTATGATTATTATTGTTATTTTAAAATTACTACTACTAATACTACTTAATTTCTCTTAGTCAAAACAGTTAAATGTTATTTTCTCTATAATTGACACAAGTAAATACCAATCTGTGATAATAATGTAAAGAAGTACATAACTTGTAGTCCCATAATTGTTGTCTAATGATTTATACGTCTATTATTGAAGTATCTAATAGTTTCATATAATGAATGGTATCTTGGATTTTCAAAAAATGAATACAAAATTCATTGGATTTGAGTTCAGGTGATTATTTTTCTCCAATCATTTATTTTAATACTAAAGGTTAATAAATTCACTTGATGTTGTTATACTGGTATCTTTTTATTGTTATTTAGGAATACAGTTGATAAGCCATTTGTTGGCGTATGTGCATCCTGTGCTGCTTGTCTCGATAATAGCTTAACTCTGAGATGCAGGTATATCCAGCTGACGAATCCCAGGTAGGACGAAACGCGTGTCAAACTGGATTCCACTACTAGACACTATCTGTCTCTGCTAAAAATCTTTTTACCTAAGGCTACATCGAGGCAATCCGCACAGGATGCACATATGCCATCAAGAAACTGAACAATTGCAATCCTAAATAACAATAAGAAGATACAATTAAAACAACACCAAGTGAACTTAAGCTTCACCACATTGTACAAGCAGGTGGCTATCAGGACTCAGTAGCTCAAGATAATGTGATGGCGTTTGAAGCGAACAGTACTGAGTCCGAGTCTCGGAGTGAACATCAACTCTGGGATGCAGGCATGTCTAGCTGACGAGTCCCAAACTGGACGAAACGCACATCAAACTAGATCCCACTGCTAGACACTACCCATCTTTACTAAAGGTTATTGCTTAGGTAATGTAGCTTACAAATTTTATATGTATCATTTGTGAAGGCTTTATGTTAACCATTATTGAAACACCATTTTTCAATAGAAAACATACTAAAGTTAAGTGATTTTCTATTTATACCTGATAATGGTTTCAATTTAGAAGTAAAATGTGCAGTAACACTTTTTTGAAATCTTTATATCTACCTCCTTAGGTAAACATGAATGGTATTAATGCTACAGTGTTCGTTTATAGTATTTTACATGAATCTTAAATCTTAATAAAGATCTGTGACATAATCTGATTTCTAATACATCTCACGTTCGACTCATTTAATTCACTGTGTAAGTTATATTGAAACAAGCATGGCATATCATTAAAAATAAAAGTGAACAACAAGAAAATTTTCTATGAATTCTATCGTTACTAAACTCTACATTTTGAAGTTTTTAAACAATCACTATTGAAATAAAGCAAGATGGACGAGATTTGCATAACAGTATGAATTTTATATAATTCAAGGCTTCTCATCAGTTAAGAACGGCCTGAATCTACAATAGTAACGTTTTCATAACATCATGAACTGATCAATGATAGACAACGATTGGAAACTCGGAAGCATAGGACGGCCGTTAAGTCCCAGTATAAGACTTCTCAGCAGGGCATATCCACAATCTTTTGAGTGATCGCTTAATCTCTGGATAAAAAAACTGATATTCAAAAGAGTTAATGTCTAACTTAAGTCATTCCTTCCGTTGCTTCCACGTTTTAAATGGAGGTCTTACTTAGATTGGTATATGACTTTAATAAAATTTAACAATCTTAATAATCCCATACTGATAATACTAATATTGGAACATCATAAGAAACGAGAAAAGGGAACAATATATTTACCATAACAGATGAGACTGACTAGTTATTATATCAGAAGTTTTTGTGGACACTATAGTTGAGATCATGAGACAATTGATTCTATATCACTATTGAAAACCTGGAATCACTGAATATTAATCACTGATATTATTCAACATATGCTAACTAGTGACTGGCTTCAAGAGGTATTTCCTGGAGTTCTAATGAGAAGCCGTGACAAGTGGAGTTCAACCGGGTCTATTGTGAGATAGTAAGTTGCTGAAAGCAATGCTGGACGGTGGCTCAATTTGGCGGATTGGTTTAAGTTACACAGTAACATCGTTGGATACCGACTCAATGGTCTAAAGGCTAAGCATCCGCGCGTGAGACCGATAGGTCCTGGTCTCGCATGGCAGGATCATGTATGCACATTTCTAAGGAGTCGTGTACTAGGACGAAACGGCTGTTCGATGGTTCCAGATTTTCCATGGTGATCTAGCTTCAATTGACTCATGATCTCAACTATTGAAATTAATATTTATATATTGAAGATAAAGTCATGCAAAGAAACGATGAGTGAATACTTTATATTTATAACAAAACTATAATCTGTTCATAGTTTCCTTGAAAAAATATCCAAAAGGTAACTTTAAAAACTTCCTTAACTATTTTTGTAACCATTGTATTTAGTATGCCAAGTGTTAAGTGGACATATTATAATGCAGTATTAGAAAACAATCGGTATTTGAACATTTATTCAACATTCAACAGTGTGATCAGAAAAAAACAGAAAAATCAAAAGTTGAAAAAAATAAATCATCTTACTTTTTTGTTTACTTGATGCTCTCCATAATGTATTTTGTACTATTTCATCTTTGACATATTCATCATTTAATTTTGTCATATCCGGTTCATTCTTCTGAGCTAAATTTGTTTGTTTGTTTTTGGTTAAAGATTCATATATAGACAATTGGACCGGTCAGTTTGATTTTCAAGTGTCATAGGTGAACAGAAATAAATCCGATTAGCGTTTGATGCATAAATTGGAAAAAATAATAATAAACACTATAAATACATAAACTAGGAAAATGTTTTTTATAAATTTCTGATTAGAACCAGTTTAACGTTGGTTCCAATGAGAATATCTTTTTTTCAAAAGTAACAAGATGTAGTCAAATCGAATTGTCTGTTGTATAAATTTAAATATTTGCAAGTTATAAACTTATCTGATTCTTCATTCTTCTTTACAAAGTCCGAACATAACTTAAACATTTACGTTTCTGATTAAGATCACGAACTGATTGATGTTAGACCACCATTAAAAAGCTGGAGGCACTGGACAACCGTTTCGTCATAGTATGGGATTCCTGAAAAGTCCAAATCCACGATCCCACACGCAGCTTTCGAACCCAAGGACTTCGGTCGCACGCGCGAATACATAACCTCTAGGTCACTGAGTCGGCATCCAATAGTGTTGATGTCTAACTTCATTCAACCCACAAAATTGCGCAATCATCTTCCATTGCACTGAGGTAGATACCTATTTCCACCTTATTTGGATTAACTTCACTAGAACTCCGAGAATTCCCTCACGAAGCTAGTCACTAGTGAACACACTGCGGAGGATTTTCATAATAGGATGAAACGGCCTCTCAGTTCTTCCAAGTTTTCAATGGTGGTCAGACATTCAGAATTCAATATATGTTTACCACCACTTTATTAGTTTTTACTAAGTTGTCTTATAATGATAACTGTTTCCACTTATAATACTATTAAAAAGCTTTAATTTTAAAGGTTTTGGTTATTCTATTTTTAAAGAAAAATTTGTTATAGCTTCATTTACGTTTCCTTAAAATAACATCAATCTTATCTTGATTATCATAAGGATGTGAGTACGTAAGATATTTGTCTTTTGTTTATACTCTCTAATCTCAGTCTTCTTGCACAAAAATTATATATATATACAATACAATACAATATATATATACAACTTCACTATGTGCTTATCAAGTGTGTGAACAAAATAAAATAATATAACATGTGATTACGTATATTTTATGCCTACAGTGGCTGTATAGAGTATGAATAAACTAATTTAGCAGCCATAAATATTAGACGTAATACTATGGTAAAATAAATCTTTCAAAAAAAGTAGTTGATAGACATGATAACATACCAATAACTTTGAGGTAGAAAAATTTCTCTTTTATGGTGGCTAGATTAATTTGACAAATATATGTTCCACTATCAGTTTCAGTAACATGAAAGATCATCAGTGTCCAAGATCCAGGATCGGTACGATCAATTTCATAACGAGGAAGTGATATTTCATTACCTACTGTTAGTGGTGTCGGCAAATCCTCTTTCCACCATGACATCTATAAAAATATTAACATTTTAATTAAACATCAGTTAGTGGTTAGTGGACATAAACAATAAAAAAGTTTTAAAACATGACATTTACAGTTAAGTAACTTTATGAGTGGTATATGCAAAATTTCATATTGAATTAGTTTAAACAAGATCATATTTTATTTTACTTATGCTGCAACTCAATATTTCTATGCCGGTAATTCATAGTTATCCATATAGAAAACATATAACCAACTTGAATGAATAGAAAAATTAAGTAATAATCTATTTCTAGTATGTAAAATATTTAATATCAAAAGAAATTTAAAGATAAATGAATGGAAGTCCTTTTCCTACAGTTGCTCAAGATGTTGCTTTTCAGTAGAATGTATCTAAACTCTTGTAAATACTGATATCAATATGACCCTCTATCACAGACATAGATAGTACTGTCTGAGCAGTTTGGCTATAGCTGACCTCTCTAAACCTGAGATGATCATATACATTAAACAATTAGCAAAGTAGTAGACTAAATTTGATCACCACTAATGACTTAGAAAACACGATTTAATGGTCACTTAGTGTAAAAGGTTTGTTTTTCTGAAAACGGAGAAACTACAAAATTAATCTTTTTCAAAATTATTTTTTACGAAATCAAATAAAAGATGGATATTCTAGAAAACTCTTATTCTTGTATGAATCTAATACCCCTTGGGAACAATATATTTTCTTAAGAAAACAATAATCATTTGTTTACATTTCGTTTACAACATTGTTAGTACTCATTCCTGGAAATTCCATCGAAGTGAATTTTGGTAATTAACGAATTCGGTTTCAAATGAAATACTGCAATTTATTGAGTTACTTCGGTTTTAGAACTGTTTATATGTAGTCAAACATATTGTTCTCAAAACACTCTATGTATAGGTAATAAACTTAATTATTTAGTTTAAAATATGGTGATGGGTTAAGTTATTGAGTTTTAGCATGAGTTTTTTTTAACAGATTGTTGATTAACAATAATGAATCATTCTTTTGCCAAGCAAAGAGGAATAGTGACTAGCGTTTCGTCTTATTTGGGACTCGTCAGCTGGATGTACCTGTATTCTAGATCTGATGCTCACTGTGGGACACAAACCCAGTAACGTCACAGAACGATACAAGCAAACAATACCAAATGAATTCTTACACTGAGTATATTAAATTACTTAAAATACTGTCTCATCATTAAATAGTTTTTCAAACACCAACAGTTTTAACAATTTTTGTTTGCCAAATTCCACTTATTATCACTTGAATTTGAGAAAAAGTTAACTTGGTGAATAAATATGATTTTTTTCCAAAAAATTAAAAAACTATGTACACTTAATGAGGATTAAAAACATTTTGTCATTTGAATCATTTATTAGATAATTCAAAATATGACTAACATTTAAATAAATAAGCGATATTTTGCTTATTAACCTCTTTTCATTTCTAATCAAAATAGGAAAGAGAGTAAGAACAAAGATTAGTGAAGAATAATATGAATTCATATTATTCTGTACCGATATTCAATTTTGTTCTCCATAAGATAATAGAGGGAATTATGTGTACAAAACAACTGTCAACCAACAACAAAGTCGGAATTTTTATTACAAAAGTCAAAACAGTTCTAATGTATGGAGCAGAAACTTTGGGATCTATGAAGATACAAGTGTTTATTAACAGTTGTCTACACAAAATACCTCGGATCCTTTAACCAGGCACTATTAGCAACAACAACCTACTGTGGGAGAGAACAAACCAGATCTCAATGGAAGAAGAAATCAAGAAGAAGCGTTGGAAGTGGACAAGACAGACATTGAGGAAAGCACCCAACTGTGTCACAAGGCAAGCCCTCACATAGAATCCTCAAAGCCAAAGGAGAAGAGGAAAACCAGAGAACACATTACGCTGAGATGTGAAGACAGACAATGAGAAGAATGAACGAGAAATGGATAGAACTAGAAAAGAAAGCCCACTTTAGTGTGTGTTGGAGAATGCTTGTCGGTGGCCTATGCTCCATTGGGAGTAACAGGCACAAGTAAGTATGTATGTAAAATATGAAGGAATAAATTTTGAAATGATCTAATAATAAACAAAGAAAATTGCAATGGTTGAAATCATGAGTCAATTGAAGCTAAACCACCATGGAAAACCTGGAAGTACTGGAAGACTGCTTCGTCCTAGTATGGGACTCCTCAGCAGTGCGCATCCACGATCCCGCCCCCCGCGAGATTCAGACCAAGGAGATATCTACTCACTGAAGACAATGGTATGCAGTGGTGCAGCTTCGTGTATTGGTTGAAGTTAGGCATTGACATAGTTGGATGGAGGCTCAGTGGTCTAATGGTTAGGCGCTCGAGCACGAGACTGATAGTTCTTGGGTTCGAATCATGCGGGGGGGGATCGTGGGTGTGCGCTGCTGAAGAGTCCCATACTAGGACGAAACGGTCGTCCAGTGCTTCCAGGTTTTCCATGGTGGTCTAGCTTCAATCGACTCATGAATTCAACTATTGATATTACTAAAATCTCCACAAAACCCCTTCTGAAAATAAAATTGCATTAGATAGAAAACCAAAATAATCACTAGATCAAAAAACTTTACATTAACATAGCTTTACTATTCTTTATTTATTTATTCACTAGTTGATAACTAGTTAGGTTATATTCAATTTCTATTTTATTTAATCCTATTGAAGTTTTACATCTGTTTATATTCTGACTAAAACAACTTAATCCTCTCTTCTACCAAAAAAAACAAACACAAATCTGGCTTATATATGTATAAAAGTATTTCAGTTACTTTATAAAATATCTGCTTATATTTAAATAAGAACACTTTAATTGTTTAATACAATCAGTTGATATGACACTAACTGGTAATAGACAAAAGAAAAAACGGAATGAAAGAGAATTAAAAGAGGAATTTGTTTTAACTAATCTATTAAAAACTGCCTTAATAACTATATATATGTGAATTAAATACAATAACAATTTTAATCATAATACAGAAGGATTTATTTTAGTAAATAAACGAAATCAAAGTATCAGTATGAAGTTGTGGAGATTATTGAGTTTTTGATTAAGATCATGAATTGATTAAAGGTAGAACATTATTGAAAATCTTGAAGCACTGAACAGCCATTTCGTCTTAGTCTGGGATTCCTCAGAAGTCCAAATCTACGATCCTACACGCAGGTTTCGAACACATGACCTTCAGTTTTGCGTGCGAATACATAACCTCCAAACCACTGAGCCAGTATCCAATAGTGTCAATGTCTAACTTCATTCTATCCAAAAGATTGTGCCATTATCTTCCACTGTACTGAGGTAAATACCTATTTCTACCTGGATTAACTTCACTGGTCATGACTTCTCACTAGAACTCCGAGAATTCCCTCATGAAGCTAGTCACTAGTGAGCATATGTTAATTATTAGTATGGGATTGTGTAGTGTATTATGTAATTTCTGGTATCCTATTTTCTATGCAATGGCTTGATCTATTTAAATTTAATATCATTTTGGAATTCATTAGTTACAAATAATGATTGACACTGACTGACATGAGTTTAAACGAAATTTGATTTTCATTTTATAGGTAATTTCAGGATTGCTTTTTTAGGATTCAGTACAGTATTCAGTGTTTCAACGTATTTAAAATACGTTTTCTTTTTTACATGAAAAATTTTCAAGTTATTTGAACATATCATTTAAAAAATATTTCTCTCTTATATTCACTTAGGAAGCATTACTTTTAACCAGGTCTATATCATGCAGTTTTAATCAAACAATGTATACTCGATGAGGTGTTGTATACCATTTCAATAAATAACCAACGTCATGTACAAGTGAATAATCAAACCTCTGACGAAACGTTTCATAGAAGACCAGTTGAACAATCATTACACATTATTTCTCAGTGAGATAGTAACTCAGTGATGACAATGGTGGATGTGTCGCTCAATTTCGTTGATTAGTTGAAGTTAGATTTTAACACCGTTGGATGCCGTCTCAGTGGTCTAGTGGTTAAGCGCTCGCGCGTGAAACTTATAAGTCCTGGGCTCGAATCTCGCGAGGCGGGTTGGTGGATGCGTACTGTCGAGGAGTCCCACAATAGGATGAAACGGCCGTTCAGTGCTTGCAGGTTTTCCATGATGGTCTAGCTTCAATTGACTCATTATCTCAACTATTGATATATATGAGATGCTTATTAGCAAATACATTTGGAATAGTAATTTTCTAATTAAACCTGTTTCTTTCAAAAGTAGAACAATTTAGAAGCCACCTATATGAATTTTATATATCATACAATATGAAATAATATAGATATTTCTTTTCATAGAAAATATTATTTAATTATTCTTCATGAGCAAGTAGTATTATGTCATATGTGAAGCTATCTGAATAATTAAGTTTGTTTTGACTAATAAAGATATTAGAATATTCGTCTGTATATGAAATGACCCAGTTTGACCTAGAGAAAAATAATAATATATGCAAGCGGAGCAGATGATTACATCCTTACCTTGTTGATTAATAAAACAATAACGTGTTTTTCACTTCATTTTATTTCTCTATATTAAAAGGAATATGTAATGTTATCATAAACATGATAATATTTAAGTGTTATTATGTAGAAGTGCTACTTATTCTAATTCATGACTTCATGAATATAGACTATCGTTTATATATTTATATCTGTATATATAATGATTATACTTATGTATATATGTATATACACTACAGAGATGTAATTATGTTATAGTATGTAAAGACTAATTATCTTATTAAATCAGGTCATTTCATATATATTATCATACTTCCTGTTTGATAATTATTTATCAGAATAATGCTGTTAATTAAATTGTAAGAAAATAATTTCCCTAATATTTTTAAAATAATATTTTTCTTTGTTTTATGTAACACCTTTAAATTAATTTAATTTTAATACTTGAATTCATGAGTCCATTGAAGCTAAACCACCACCGTGGAAAACCTCGAAGCACTGAACGGCCGTTTCATCCTAGTATAGGACTCCTTAGTAGTACGCATTCATGATACCACCTCGCGAGACTCAAGCACAGAACCTATCAGTTTTGCGCGTGAACGCTTCATCTCTAGACCACTGAGCCGGCCGGCATCTAACAGCATTAATGTCTAACTTCAACCAATCCACGAAATTGCTCCACGTTCAACATTGTCTTCAGTGAGTTACTATTTCAAAACAGACCCAAATGAATTCCACTGGTCACTGCTAGTCACCAGAACTCCAGGAAAAAACTCTTGGAGATAGTCATTAGTGAGCATATGATTACAATCAGAGAGGGACTTTGTGAATATCGCGCGAGGCGGGATCGTGAATGCGCACTGCTGAGCAGTTCCATACTATAACGAAATTACCGTCCAGTGCTTGCAGGTTTTCCATGGTGGTCTGGCTTCATTTGACTCATGAATTCAACTATTAGATTATTATAATACCCGAAAAATCCCTCTCTGATTATAACTTAATCTTTTTTTAAAGATTTTATACGACGCAGAGTATAAAGAAGTCAGTAAAAGTGAAAATTATATTTATAATAAGTTCAGTGATTGCAATTTAAAATAATCCCAATGTTTCGTCTAGCAAACTTATCTAGACTTCTTTAGGATAATAATCAAAATTATTAAAGAAATATATAGCAAACAAGAACAGCCTGAACCAAAAGGATGGTGTTCAACTAGCGACTAATTGGCAAATATTCGTTGACAAGTAATTAGACCGTTCTGTTTATTCAACCTGTTTGTTTCACTGGCATCGTTATTTTGACTGAAATTAATATGAGGTATTTTGACCAATACAATCATGTATTCGTTGATATTCGTTTTACATACACATCAATGATTCAACAACAGTATTCAGTCATTTATTTTCACAACGTGAACTTTTCATATGATTCGCATTTAATTGACTCATATTATCCTATTTACTAGAAATCAACATCCAATTATGATTGGATTAACACAGCATAGATTTGATCTAATTTGATTGTTAAAACACTATATTTTCCTTTGATGATTTTGATTCTGATTATCGTCCTGAAGAAGTCCAGATAAGTTAGCTGGATGAAACATTGGAATTATTTCAAATTTCAATCGCTGAGATTATTTCAAATATAATTTTCACATATTAAGCCAGACTATTTTTAATGATCAATCTGCAGGATTTTGAAATATCTTTAAATCTTACTTGAAGTTGGAACTGTCTTTTTGAATACTGTGTGCTAACAAGATATTGAAACATAATGAAGTTGTGGGCGAAACTCTAATGTATGGACGACCTTTGAACGAATTTTAAGTGACCTTAAGAAATATCAAGCAATCAGCAAACAGTCAGTATAGAGTAAAGATATGCTATACAAAACCGAGGAAATAAAGTGGATACACTTTTTATACGTAGTTCAAAAACTTGTTAAAGTTAGAAAGAGGTTCAGAGGTTCTAAACTCGTAATGCATTCAGTAAAGGAAATCATCCATACGGTTACAGAACAATCGGCCTCTGGAGCCATCATAAAGTCTCAAAAACTCTTTCAACCTCGACCATATAGCTTCAATATTGTTTATGTGCACTCTAGTTGTTGAGTGCTAAAATGCCACTTGTGGACAACGACACGATGCACATAACCAAGCCTATGTAGAAGTCTGTACGCTCTCCAAACATTCGTATATATTGTAGTGCCTGGCTGCAACCAGTGTTACTGGTGCTTTTATTATCCAGTTCGCGATACTTGTCGTAATTTGCCTCAGTTAATTATATATGGGGTTTCTACCACGAACTGACATCAGCTATAATGCCAGATATTTATTGGCCAAATGAATGAAAGACTTTCGTGCCAAAGTCCGAGATCTGTTATCTTATACCTGATTGATTCGTCCACAAATTGTAGTCTCGCCGTTTTATTTTTTATAGCTGCTCAATTATCACGTTTTGTACCAAATTCCCTGTGAACCAATCGTACGTTATCATTAAGCACTGGAGTTGGCGCCGTAACCTTGAAACCTCTAAAACGCCTCTGATTGGCTCGTTCATAAATTAGAGTCTCGCCAAGTTGTTTTAGTCAATAAACCATGTAAAATATATAAACATTCATCTCAAAATTGAACATTTTTCTTTTAGTTTTAAGAATGAAACCATCAATAAAACATTCATTTACATTTGATTAGCTCAAACAATTGTGAATAAAGTTCATTTGTACTAAATGGATAGAATAAGTAACAAATATTATCCGTTTTTCTTTCTAAAATATTGATTGCATTTATCTATTAACCAAGTAAAAATTTAATAAAAATGTCGTTATATGACATCTATGTACTATTGTTATACGTCATATTCTAAAATATCAATGAAATATACCGTTTTTTCTTTTTGATAAATAAAACAATGTTTTCTGAAAACAATAAATTAAACACTAATTTATTCTCTTTCACAACTGGGAAAAGATTCATTGACACATTAAAATCTACCCAAACGATATAGTTGTCATATACATAGATAATCAATTACAATGGTTTTGATGGAGTTTTATTCTTTGAACTGGATGGTTTGGTTGTGGAGCTTTCATTGTTCTTCTGAACGACATCATCAGCACAAACTTCAGATAGAAGTGATGTGTTCGAAGTTCGTCATATGCGTTTCACAGCTTGTTCTGTACACCTCGATGTGGATTGGTTCTTATTGACTTTAAATTTGTCATTGTTTACTTTTTTGTTTTGGTCGTGTTTCTCATTGGTTTGACTTTTGTTCGCATATTTGTACATGATTTTCCTGATTGGTTGATAAATTAGATTGATTTCAATATGCTTGTTGATTGCTGATTGACCTGAGTGCCAGGATTCTGAAATTTCTTTGTTGTTTTTGGAATTTCCTCTGTCCAAGATTTCCACATGTTCCCGATCGAATGAAAGTGTTCATCCACCCCAGCTACAAATCTTCTCTATCATCTCAATCCTTGTCGGGTAGAGACAGGTATCTACCTCAGTACAACGGAAGTTGGTCGCGCAATTTTGTGGATTGGTTGATGTTAGAAACTATCACCATTGGATGCCGGCTCAGTTGTCCAGTTGGTTAACCGTTCATACGCGAGACCGAAGGCCCTGGGTTCAAATCCCGCGAGACGGATCGTGGATGCACACTGCTGAGGAGTCCCACAATAGGACGAAACGGCCGTTCAGTGCTTCCAGGCTTTCAATTGTGATGGTCTAACATCAATCGGTTCATGATCTCAACCAAAAAACTCAATCATAATGATTATTTATTGTTTTAACATGACTATAAAGTTGGATATCATTCAATCATTTAGTTACCAGATAAAATTTCAACCATTTGTTTCTCAGGTTATTTTTGTTTCATTCATTATTACATATTTTTTTGCGATATTCTAGATAAAAATTCACGTTATGTATTATTGATCCGTTGGTTGATATTGTTGGCCATTATCAATCTTTTCATATTCAAATCTCCTATTAGAATTTATCTAATCACTGAAAAATTCTCATCATATAAAAACATAATTAATACGAATCAAGAATATTCTTTTCAATAATTTCTCATCAGGTTCCAAATTTAGAATACGTAAAATTGACCAGACTTGAGACAGAGTATATGATTGAAAATTGTAATATATGAATGAAAAATTGTTGTTTGTTATATAAAATCAAATCGTTAAAGCTTTGCATTCAAAAGAAATATGTTCAGCCGCTCCTTTTATCCTGGCCAACTAGTTAATAATCAATCTTATAATATAGTGACATAATTTGACTAATGTTCATTTTTATGTCCCAAACTTATTATTATTATTATTACAGCAACCAACCCTATGTACTATATCTGATCTAATTCATCTTATTCTACATATTATGGGCGGCCTGCTTGAGCATCTGGGCTACCTGTTCCTGTCATCTAAGTATTTCAACAAGTTATCTATTTTTGTTTGTTTTAATATATCATTATGTATATTAATCGCATAACCCATCCTTGTGCATTTCTGAAAAGTTTACAACCTTTCGTTGTCAAAGTTACTAAAAGCTCAATAAGAGATAATGTGGTCGCTGGCAATATGCAGAGAAAAGAATATACATTATTCAGATGTTTATTTACTGGACTGCTAACATCTAACTGGCTATCACTCAATATTTATCGTCAGGATCGACCCAGAAGAAAGAAACGGAAACTTGTTGAAATACTTTGTGCTGAGAATTCTATATTGTACCGAAAATATAATATTGAATAAAGCTTATAATAATAATAATAATAATGTAATTTCTGACTGGTGATTACATTATTCTCTCTCTCTCTCTGTCACTCTATGTTGACCATATTTAACCTGGTCATCATCTAATCATTATAATTAATGTTTACTATTACAATATTTTTTTAAAAAAAAAAGAGAATTAAATGTTGTCAAGACAATAAACTTACAACAGTTGAAGAAAAATCAATATTCTTTACTTTACAAGGGATTCTAGCTGTATTATTCATAATTGAAGTGATATATACAGATTGATTTGGATCAAAATATGGTTCATTTATATCATTTTTATTAGATAATAATGAAGATGATAATTTTTTTGTTATGATAGACTGTGAATTATGAGATTGTTTTAAATGATTTGTAAATATATTTGATAATGATTTTGTTTGTAATGATAAATTAGATTTATATGTACTAATATATGGATTAGAATGTTTTTGTTTTTCTATTTGTTTATTATAGAAATGATTATTTTCAATTATGTAATCATTCGACTTTGTTGTAAATAATTGTTTATTACTTATATTCATGTAATCATTTATTGTTTTTATAGAACGTTTTCTATTATTCATTATATTTAATCTAATTGGAATAGATTTATTACGAACAGGTTTATTATTAATAAATTCTAATAAATATTGTTTTTCTGTTAGATATGAATTATTGAATTGTTTCTCAGGTAATATAAATAGCATATAACATGTTATGATTATTAGAATATAAAGATTTACACCCGTTGAACAGATCGCCATCCATATACAATTATTCGAATATAGAATGTCATGAAGAACTGATTGAAGAATACAACCGTCTATAGATAGGTAAAATAATTTTAAAAAGAAATTCATCAGGAAAAAATGATAAATAATAATAATTCAAATGATGTAATTGTACTAGTGGGGTGTTTCCTAGTTTAGAGAAGAAAAATCTCAGCCAATATAGGATCTACGGATGAACTCATCACGACACCATCTATTTCTCTATAGATATCATCATTGAATTTGAAATGTACATTCATAGTATATTTTGGTAGTAATTTTTCGTTTATAATGAGAATTGTTCAGCGAATAATAATTCATTAAATAGTTATTATCATTATGCCAATTAAATGTGAGTGAATTAGTGGTAACTATATTTTATAGTTAAGTAAAATGTCTAAACTTTACCCAATGGATAGATTCGTAGAATGAAATAAAAAATTCTGGCGAAAAAAACGGTATACTGATTTATAACTATCCCTTTTAATACGGCAATCCAATCATACTTGATTGAATTACTGTGGAAGATGTGGAATCCCTCACGTACCTGGGGACCATCATTGATGAACAAAGAGGATCGAATACAGACGTAATGGCAAAGATTGGCATAGCAAGTAGAGCATTTTTTACAATCGAAGAACACATAAAACTCAAAACAAATGTATGTCAACCAATATCAAAGTCACAATCTTCAAAACGAACGTCAAGACAGTTCCACTGTACGAAGCTAAAACTTCGAAAACTACTACAACCATCATCAAGAACGTACAAGTATTTATGAATAGTTGTTTGTGCAAGATACTCAATATCCGTTGGCCGGATACCATCAATAATAGTCTTCTGTGAAAGAGAACAAACCAGCTTCCAGCTGAGGAGGAAATTAAGAAAGGACAATGGAAGTGGATAGGACATATATTACGGAAATCACCAGACAATCGCTAACTTGGAATCCTGAAGGGAGGTGGAAAAGAGGAAGGCTTAGGAAGAGATTAATTTGGGATATAGAAGCAGACATGAAAAGTGTGAATAGCGACTGGAAAAAGTTGCAAAAGATTGCCCAGGATAGGGTCAGATGGAGAGTGCTGGTGGGCGGCCTATGCTCCTCGACGAGGAGTAACAGGAGTAAGTAAATAAGTAATTTTTTAATATGTAAACAACTACTAGTATCAAAGAAATAGGTTTCAATCATATTCTGGTTGTTTGAGTAGTATCACTATATATATATTCGCTTTTCGTCTTAAAAGTTTAGATCTATAACATAAATTCTTACTTAGTGGATTGAATCAAAATTATTTCAGCAGTTTGGTGCCTAACTAACCTTACAATAGTAAATAACTGACAAAAACTTAAGGAAAATTAGGCCTATCGTTCGAAGTAAAGACCGGTGTCAGGCAAGGTTGCTTACTCTCACCCTTTCTCATTCTCCTGATGATCGACTGAATTGTAAAGACGTCAACATTCGGGGGCGAAGCATGGGATACAGTAGACAACTAGGACGCAGCTGCACGATATAGAATTCACAGATGATCTGCCTCTTTTATCACAATCGCAACAACAAATGCAGTAGAACACGATCAGTGTAGCAGCAGCTTCAGCCGCATTCGGTCTCAACATATACAAAGGGAAAGACAAGATCCTTCTATACAACACAGCATGAACCAATCCAATCACAATTGATGGAGAAGATTTGTAAGATGTAAGTCCTTTACACATTTGGGCAGCACCACTGATGAACACGGTGGATCTGATGTAGAACTGAAAGCGCTAATCGGCAAAGCAAGAGCAGCATATCTACAACTGAAGAACATCCGGAACTCAAAACAATTGTCAATCAACACCAAGGTCAGAACTTTTAATACAAATGTCAAGACAGTTCTACTGTATGGGGTGGAAACCTGGAGAACTACAAAGCCATCATCCAGAATATGCAGGTGTTTATGAACAGTTGTCTACACAAAATACCTCGGATCCTTTGACCAAACACTATTAGCAACAACAACCTACTGTGGGAGAGAGCAAACCAGATCTCAATGGAAGAAGAAATCAGGAAGGAGCGTTCGAAGTGGATAGGACAAACATTGAGGATAGCACCCAACTATGTCACAAGGCAAGCCCTTACATAGAATCCTCAAAGCCAAAGGAGAAGAGGAAAACCAGAGAACAAATTACGATGAGATATGAAGACAGACAATGAGAAGAATGAAGAAGAATGGGATAGAACTAGAAAAGAAAGCCCACTTTAGTGTGTGTTGGAGAACGCTTGTCGGTGGCCTATGCTCCATTGGGAGTAAGAGACATATTTAAGTAAGTAAGAAAATAATCCGATCACATATTATCATATCTGTACATGTGCATATATATATAACCAAATGTCCTCTGTATCTCTTCTTAGCCTATTTTAATAATTATATATATTCAGAATCTTTATTTAGATATATTGAAAAGATAATGTCAACCTACTTTTTTACTACTGAGAATACAATTGTTTGTTTGTTTGCTTGTTTTTTTATAAAGAAACTATTATTGATAAAAATTAAATATTTTGTCACGTACTCAAATTCTATTCTGTCGAATAGTTGAAGCATATCAGAAACTTTATCACGTTCTATATTATTCAAGTAGAAAAGTGTCAAAAAGAAAAACTGTAAAAAAACAAGGATTGTTTCGCATGATTTATGTAACTAATTTACTTTCAGATTTAATTTATAAAAATTAGATAAGAATACATTGGATAATTCACAATGTATAGAAATGTAGATAAGAAATATATCTAATAGTTATTATGTATTAGTAAAGCAAGCAAACAAACAAGCAAACACATAGTCTGATAGTAGTTTTTTAGTCAAATAAGAACCAATTATAAGTTATATCATGAATTGGCAGAAAGAAACAATGAATTGATATGAAGAGAAATATAATTTCAATAGTTGAGATCATGAGTCAATTGAAACTAAACTACCATAGAGAATCTGAAAGCGCTGGACTAACGTTTCGTTTTATTATAGGACTCCTCAGCAATGAGCATCCACGATCCCGCACCCCGCGAGATTCGAACCCAGGACCTATCAGTCTCGCGCCAGGCGCTTAACCAACTAGACCACTGAATCGGCATCCAACGGTGTCAACGTCTAACCCATATTAATTAATTTATCCATAACAATCTACCCAATGGTGAATTTATTCGAAATTACCAAGTCAAACCTTTGTAATGACACCTATAAAAACTAAAATCGTAAAGTTTTCCATATATATGAACATCACAGCTAGAATATCCATTAAATCAAGTTTTAAACTTAACAGAACGTAAAACGGAATTGTTGTTTCGATCCCGATAAGACTTATGTTTCTTTCCGAAATGTAAATGTAAACTTAACAAAACTTTCTTCAAGTATATTAATGGTTAATTATATTTGCATATATTGATTTATTGAGTAAATCATTTGATTAGAAGGCATGAATTTCTGAAGAAAAGTTTCAATTTCGGTTAGATACTAGTTACAGCAAAATAAGATATAGTTCCGTAAATATAATTTGTTAGAGAATATAATTCATACTTTGAACAATTAGAAATTGCATTTAGACAGAATTTTTGACATTGTAAGTTTATATTTTAGTCAGAAAAAATGTACGTAATATAGATGTAAAACGTAAAATTAATGAGTTACTCTATTGATCCTGGTACTGCTTAGTTAGTAGTCACTGGTCCGATCGACAATTCACTGTTCTCTAATTAGTGGTATCATTACGTTATACATTGATAAGAGCACAAACTCACAAGCTATGACAAAAATATACTTCATTTTTCCAACTGACGTCAATTTAATCACAGTAACACCAATATTCATCTTAGTCGAGTTTGTTTTTCTAATCAATGATTTTCATCACTCATCGTGTTACATTCACATTGTTTAATAACATGTTTAAACCTTTAAACATTTGAACACTCACGTGATTGGGTTCTTTACATACAATTTTTTTAACCATAATCATTATTGTTACACCAATTTTAATAACTACTATTATATTCATAATGGTCATACTGATTTACATACATTTCTTGTACTGAATTATATCATGATCTCTCCATCGTTTACCGCACTAATCTAAAAACTATACTTGTATGAATAAGGAAAGTATTTCTATTTATATTTTTGTTGCCAGAACAACGACTGTGTGTCCATGCTACACACAAAAAATACAGTTATGAAACATTTTATTTATTTAAAGTAAATCAGTGTATATATGGAAACATTTAGAGCACATAAAATGAATTCATTATATTCTACAAAGGATTATTTTTCATGCTTTACAAATGTTTAATAAGAGGACTAATTGCATGAAGAGAAAAAAAGTATATTGACCGTTTATCCCAACATCAATAATGACAGACTATGTGAAAAACAGAAAAATGTTTGTCCTTGTTTTTTTTTTGTTTTTGATAAATCCTTGTGGAAACAAATCTTTAACTAGAAAGCTTTCAATGATATTCTTAAATGAATAAGCAAAAAATCAGGTCAAGTCAATATCCAACATTCAAAAGATATTATCCTCAAACATTTTTCTTGTAAACAAAATTCAATGAAGTAATTATTCATTTTATAAGAGAAGTAAATGTTTATTATTTTGTATGTTCATTAAATGCTACATAGTTACAGGTTACACGAATAAACACGTTACTTATTATCACATAATTGTATTATTTCATTGTAGGAAACAAAATGAGCTACATTAAAAAAAAGTCACTTGAGCAGGATATGTTTCATGTTATCTTTATTAAACTTATATTAAATTATTTTATGATGATTGATAGTAATTTATCGCCTGAAATTTTTGCTATTATCGGAAGTTTCATCGATCTTTGCTTTTCTGGACAAAAAAAACACCCACCTTCAGTTCGTTATTAAACTGATCAATAATAACTTTGAGCAACACTGTAATAAGACCTACAAACAAATTAAATTTATTCCCGCTTCACTAGCTAATGGCTACCTGATCTTATCAATTGAGTGAATAACGTTATGATCGTTTAAATTGAAAGCATTACGTTCAGATC